CACAAAATGAAACCCAATAAAGAAACATGTTAATCAGAATTATTAGGGAAACAACTAGGGAAATCCACTATTTGACTAAGAGACTGAGCAAGGGTAAAATTGTAAGTCTGAATACCAGCAATATCAGTATATTTTTAAATGATTAAGCAATTTGACATGATGAGCATTAAAATCATCAAAAATGTTCAAAGAGAAATGTAGAGAGAGATATTTCTATACTGTCAAATATTTTATCTAATATGCTACAGTCCTGAGAAGGGTAGCAAAAAAACAAAGAAGTAATAGCTAACAGTGCAATAAAGAAAATCAAAAGCACATGAAAGAATCATTCAGAGACTCAAGAGACAATTTCCTTGTCATTGGAAGATTTTCTCAGATATAAACACCAAAGTTATACATATATGTATCCTAGAATCTTTTCAACAAAGAAAGTAGCCTGAAACAGAATTCATTGGTAGTAATAGAATTATTTAAATTAGTTTCACAAAGTGAAAAGATATCTGGAGACTGTTTCAAGAGAAAAGATTCGACACTACAGAAATTGCTATGAATACCATGAATATTGGAGAGGTTAAAAGAGGCAGGTAATTTCTTGTTTACTCATTACTATTAACTGTAACTGTCATGAGAAGATTAACTTTTAAGGCAAAAATGGCCAAAATAATTATCACTAACCATCATCTATGACAATACAAACCAGCTGGAAAGTGGTTAAGACTAAAGCATAATGTGACCTCAGTGTTGCCACTGGAAGTACATGCACAATATGGTATTGGAAATACTCTGATATTATGTGACTGTTGACCAGAGCAGTCTCTCTGAGCATTACCAAATTGTTTAGGCTACTTACTACCAGTCAGGATGCAGAAACTAGAAAACTACCAACCCAATAACAGCATAATAAAAAGTCACAGCTACCATCAGTTATATCACTAAAAAGTTAATAGAGCTAAATCATTATGATCATGTAAAAAAAAAAAAAAAAAAAAAAAGAACCAGTAAAACATTTACTAAATAAGGAATAAACTTCTACTCTTGTTCAATAAACATGGAAGGAGTACTGGCCAGGCAATAAGCAAACCTATTTAACCTGTTCACAGCACAGGAGACTGGATGTTTTTATCTAAATAAGGCTCTAACCCCCTTCCAGGCCTCTCTCTCTATATATATATATATATATATATATATATATATATATATATATATATATATATATATATTAATAAACGTCAATTATGGTTATGTTATGGTGGTATGAAATGAATATCCTTAAATCAAATGTTAACTGAACAATCAATATTTTGAATGGTAACAGTAATATTAGACATTTCCTTATAAGGGAACATTTGGCATTTATTGATTGAGCAGTCTAAAAAAACAAAAAAAAAATGCAGTCTACTAAAATCTTCCACTTAAAACAATTTTTCAGGAAAATAGGTTTCCCACATCCAATAGCTATTATTGCTCTTTCCAGTATTGACGAGAGTTTCCTTTCTAACCTTTTATTTGAAGTAGTGTGGAACATCTTCATTATATCATTATTTTCTCCAAGTCATAAGCTGCTTTAATCTTTTAAAATATTCAGTGGGTGGGATATACTTACATATATTTTAAATGTTTTTTTTTTAACAGACATTATTTCTTTTTACTATAAGCATTATTTTTAATGGGTACACATGTTTGATTTGCAGTCCCTGTTTATTTTCTTAAGCAGCAAAATTAATAACTAGCCTAAAACAAAAGTAATTTATTTTAGTATTTTAATTATAGTAGTAAAAAAAAAATTTGAATCCCAAAAGGTATGCCAGGAGACAATGCAATGACCGGAATTGCTAAAATATTTTAGAAGGCATTTGATGAAAAACTCATATTTTATAATATTGAGACAATTGCTCTCAAACTACTATTTGTAAAAAGAAAAGCTAATTTAGATTTCAAATTACTTAGAACAAATCAATCCAAAAGGAAAGAGATATTCTTATGAGAAAGAGATTTGTCATTTTCTCTTGTTAAATTTGATACTTTTCAATTAGAAGAAAAGCATATATTTTCCCTTTAAATCAGATATTTTCAAATCTATCATGAGCAAATGTGAAATCTTTCAACTGCATAAAAAAAAATTAAAGAGATTCTAACAAGTAGCATAAATAAAAGCTAGAAATTATTGAAAATAATAGAAAGACATTGTGTATTAATGTTTCAACTATTTTATGCAAGTCTTCTTCAGATGTTTGTTATATTGTTTTCCCTTTCATTGGGTTTCACTATTCCAAGTACCTGAGAAAGGTCAAAGGACACAATGATCAGACTGCAAAAATGAGGAAATTAGTCCAAATTAACCCATAAACAAGGGTAACACCTCAAAAAATAAATAAATAAAATCTTCACATTACAAGATAAAAAGTAAAAATTTAATAAATAATTCTGTAAACCTTATATTATGGCTAATCTCTATAAAACTTTCAAATTTAAATTTTCCAAAAATAAATTCATTCTTTATTCAAATACTAAATTTTCAGAATCATGCTTCAGCAAAGTTCTAAGAAATATAAAAAACATTTACAATATGAGGAGGGGGAAAAAATCAATTCTCAATAAAAATGTATAAAACACATGTCAACACATTCTCTGGAAATGTACAATGTGGATGGAAGTATTTACCAAAATGGAAAAGGAGGAAGAGGATATTAAAAGTGAAAACAAAAAGCATTGCATGCCAAAATAATCAATACTGTGTTTTGGTTAAGCTGGCCACAGTAATAACAACCCATGGGCCAAAGTCAATATGCCTAAATGAAAATATCAGGCAGAGAAATTTGCATCAGGAAAGCAAAAAGTACTCAGTACAATGATGCTACACAAACAATACAAACCCATGGCATTTTTAGTTAATCAAAGGGGCAATTTAAAGCCTGCAATTAATAGAAAGTGTTTTTTTTCAATAGGCTAAATCTCAAATCACATTGGACCAATAATCAGGCCAAATTATTCCTACAGTAATTAGAGTACAAGATGGTGGATTTGTTATGACCATTAGGTGCTCATCTTGAAGATGATTACTATTGTAGTAATTATGATTTTTAATGGACATTTTACTCTTGTAGACTTATGCTAGGCTAAGCCAAATTCAATAAATACTTACAATAACCATTATATCTTTTGGATATTCCCAACTTCAGGGGTTTTTTTTTTCTAATGCACTGATAAAATTTATATTAAAATGCTTTTAAAATAATTTAACATTATCCTCTCCAGATCATGGATTTATCAGAAAATAGTTTTTTTCCCTTTCAGTACATATAATGAATAAAAAATAAACAAAACAAAAATTTTCACAAAATTCTAACCAATGCCTTACAAGATCATTCTTAATACCATCACTCACTGCAGCTCATCTTAATTACTTAGCAGTTGAGTGATTGCTTTTTTACAGCTTATCAACCCTTTGTAGATTATTTAAAGTCTAAACATATTTTGGATTGTAAGAATATATATATTTTTTTTTTCCTCATAATACCAATATACTGGATACAATGTCCTAATTTTTTTTTTGGGGGGGGGTGTAAAAGTTTATCTCATCGGCCAGCAAAGACTATTTACCTTCACTATGTTTAATTATACTTTTATACTTTTTATATTATGTTTTGGAATAATTTTGGAGATGAATTTGTTTGGGCTGTAGATTTTTGTTTCTGGAAATACTTTTGAATGAATGTATCTGAAATTCAGCAGTTTTATTTTTTAAATCCATCTTATGCTAATTAATTTATTAGAAACTTTTAATTATAGCCCAAAACAAGATAGTATATTGAAGAGAATTTCATAACACATCAAAGACATGATTCAATAAAATCTGCAATAGGGTTTAAACTTTATGAAGATTAGTTTCATCCTTTAGTGCTGGACAAGTCAAGCTTCTTGTCTGAAACTCAAACTTTGAAAGAGAAATAGGTAAGGTCCCTTCAATTAAGAACAAAATTAATCAATGCAAAAAAAAAAAAAAAAAATCAAAGTTTGAAACTAAAATAAACAAACATGATAAAATGGCCTAGAAATGCTTCATGCAAGAAAAATTTTATGAATGTTCAATAAAGATATTTCTTTTCTGTTTTCTTCCTTGTGGCATATCCACTCAAGCAAGCAGAACAACAAAGCCAGTAACTAAAAAAGGTCAATTTGCTATTATTCAAATATAGAATTGAATAAATCAATAGACAAATATTTAAAACTAGATAATATATTGGTTATTTGAATTGATTTGGCTTAATACAGTCCCAAGTTGGTTGGCACCCAAAATATACAGTCCATGATTCTAAAAAAAGTAAGAGTAATCTGGCATGAGATCACAGAGAATAGTTGAAAATAAAATGCCTGGTAGCACACAGACATTAAATACTTTACTTGCTTTCTTTGAATTTAATGGAGAAGTATTACGTAGGAGATAAAATCACTTAGTCAATCCTGTTACTTTAAAAAAAAAAATTTTTTTCAATCATTTCACCCCAAGCAAGGTGATAATGCTACCAAGACATAAGGGGTTACTGTTATTGGAAGAGAATGAAAAGACTTTATCAGGGAGAAAGGAGAATAAAAGAACAGGATCCAGGAAGACAGAAGATGGTGATTGGTGTTGCATTTAAATTAAGATTGTAAGTGGCAAGGAAGCAAGAAACTGGAAGAGAGTTCCACAGGCAAGAAGTGCGAGAAAAGAAACTATTAGAATATTGATTGATTTGTTTTCTACAACTTATCAGCCCTTTACTTATTATTTAAAGCTAGAAAATAGTTTTAGATTGTAAGAATCCCCCAACCAAACTGATAATGATTTAGTGATACAAATCTTACTAATTAAACCATAGCTGTGGAAGAAGAGTTGGATTCATACCTTTCCCAAGGGTATCTGCATGTATGTGAATATAATGAACTTAACCATAATTGGAATTCAGCTCTCCAATTAACAATTCCGAGCCGTTATGCATTTCACCACCTGCACATCCAAGCTTACAGCACCTGGTATTTCCAAGTGGTCACCTATCTAGATACTGATCAGGCTCAACATTGCTTAACTTCGGTTATCATACAGGAACTGGTGTTTCAATGTGATATGGCCGTAAGCCCTGCTATTAGAATAGAACAGGTGTGTCAAACTGGCAGCCCACAGGTGGCCTTTTACATGCATCTTGACAGCCCTCAAAGGTTTATGTAGCCGTGGTATATTGAGAATCTTGTCTATGTTGGTAATGCAAATTATTAAAAACAGTGAGATTTTTTTCAATCAGTATGATTAGATTGCTTATTCTATTTCAATGGGTTTTGTTTTCGAATGTCAGTGACTATTTTTAACTTCTGGTTAATCATGTGATCATTCTTGACAACTAAATAAGAACAAATGTAAAGTGAAAACGTTTGTAATTTTGTAATTTTTTCTCCTTAAAAAATGTCAAATTCTACTCCATCCCATAAAAATAGAAAATTATCTGAAGAAGAATGCGTGCAATACTTTAATACCACTGTTAATGGTAAGATAAACTGTTTGATTTGCAACCACTGCATTGTGATTCCAAAAGAATATAATGCGAAAAGACATTATGAAACAAACTATCAATCTTATGATAAATATGAAGGAGATATGTATGTTTCAAAAGTGAAGGAATTCAAGGTTAAATTAACACAGAAACAGAATTGCTTTACAAAAATTCAGAAAGGCAATGATAGTTCTGTTACTGCAAGCTTTGAACTCTACAAAATGATCGCCATCAGTGGAAAATCTTACAGTGAAAGAGATTTCATAAAGCGATGTCTTGAAAAACAGCTGAAATTGTATGTCCAGAGAAGTCACACTTATTTCAAGACATTTCATTAAGCAGGAACACTGTTACTGAATGGATTGATGAAATGGCAGGTGATTTGAGTTGACAGTTGGAGACTTTATCATCAAGTTTTAAACAATTTCCTATTGCTCTGGATGAGACTATTGATATAGCTGGAATAGAACAGCTCACCATTTCCATATGCCCAGAGTTTGACATGCCTGGAATAGAACATAATGTTAAATCTAACTAGTTCAACAGTAAAACAGTGAGACCTAGTTACTAATCTAATAGTATGCTTAAATTCACAGACTTGAGGTACCAAAAGTGAATGTTCATTAGAACAATTACCATGAAATCTACACAGTAAGAAAAAAAAGTGATATGTAGCTCTTATAGCTATCAGTTAATGCAATTTAAAAAACCCTAGTACCCAGAAATAAATTTTTTGCAAATAAACTAATTTGTTAGGTTTTTTTTTTGGTTCTTTTTTTTTAAAAAGCAACCAGTGATGGGAAAGTGACTGAAATCAAGATGCCAGGTTAGAAGTAATTATATCATGGACCCTTTTTGTTAAGAATCTCAAGATATATGGCAGAAACAGATGAATGGTAGATTTATAAATGTGCAAGATGGGTTCTGACAAGAAAAATTGTCTGACATGACAACTTAAAAGCAAAAATAGTTTGTGGTGTAATTAGTTTTTTAAAGCCCAGTTAAATTCACTACAAAGTCACAGAAAATAACAGAAAAATTAAAATAATCTTACATATACTATTAATAAACGTCAGAGTCATAAGTAAATATCCCACACATCCTAGTGTTTGGGAGGTAAATTCAGCATTTCCCTATCCTCAGGGTAATAGATAATCTAATACAGCATAGTTTCCAAAAATATCACTTATATCTTGATAGTAAGTGCAGGCAATAGAGAAAATCCTGACATATCTTTTTTCATGAAAAGGAGGTACAGTCTGAAAAAAAGAGATCCCCAGTGTTAGTGTTTGTCTCATACAATATTTGCCCTCTTGTTCAAAATTAAGTGTGGTTTGCAATGTAGTAAATAGATATTAGAAAAATCTATCAAGAACTATCCACTGATAATTTCTGTATAACATACTCTCAAATTTCAGCTCTTAAAAGAAATGATATTGAAAATTTGAATTTTATATATATATATATATATATATATATATACATATATATATATATATATACATATATATATATAAATATTAAATAAAGAATGCAATAAAACTAAGACATTATTTAATTAGAAAAGTTTTTAATTGCTTTTATGAATAAGACATTATGGACACTATTGTCTTAAGAAAAAAAATTTGCTAAATAATGAATTTTTACAAAAATTGTTTTCATTTTTTTGTTTTTTAGATTTTAATTATTTTTAAGTTTTAAATCTTTTAAAATTCTGTATTAATTTGTACATGTTAGGTGATATTTTTATTATCAGAAAATAAGAGTGGCAACTATAGTAAATTTTAAACTTATTGGTAATTTTCTAATATTTCATTAACAAGCTTCTTCATAAGTAAGTCTACAGCCAAAGTACCTAAAATTCAATATAATAGTAGATTACCAGAAATATTTTCTTAAATTTTTAAGATTACTGGTTAGTTAAAAGATTATATATCTTTTTATTAAATGTGCCAAACATTAAGCTATCAGTAAATTTATCAACACTTCATAAAAAGACTCATCACCATGTTAAAAAATACTTTTCTGCAAATATTTTAAACTAAAACTATGTTTTAATTCAGATTAACTGATTTAAAGTTTAGTTAAGCTTCCTCAATTAAAGTTTCAGAAAAGTAGATTTTATTTTAGAAAGATTTGTTTTATTAAAGAGAATTATGATGTACTGAGAGAATTGTTAAAATCAGCAATTTTTTTATCAATTTCAAAAGAAAAACTCATTCCAATCAATTAAAATTCTGTTTAAAATACAACAAAGTATTTTGCTTATTGCCAATATTAAATTTAATCTGTAAGCTTGGAACTAAAACTAAAATAAAAAAATTCAAGATTTTTCTTTTTTTAAATGCATTTTAAACTTTAGGTATCACTTTTTATTGTGGGAGGAGAGGTATCTACATTATAGGTAGTTGTTTTGACAAAATTTTAAGTTATACTCTATACATAAAACATGGCATATAGCTTAGTTATAGGTTAATACAATACAGTGTAACCCGGATATAAGAGAGTTGTCGGGACCGAAGAAGAAGTCTCTTATATCCAGGTTTGGTCTATTTTGTTTAGGTAACACAGGCTCTAATTTGGGACCAGAGAAAAGCCCTTATATCCGGGTTACACTGTAATAAGTAAAAATCCCCAGTATCAGAGAAATAAACATTTTGCAAATAGACTAATTTGTTAATGTTTTTTAAGTAACCAAATATTTATCAGAAAAATTTTTTTTCTGTATTAATAATTCTATATGAACAAAAAAAAAAGAATTGATTCTTTATAATTTGAGGGAAGGGAGGGTCTTAAAATAAAAATGTCAGTAATATTGCAAAAATAAACTTTAAAAAAATTTTTTAAATATAATTTTGACCTGACATAACTCAGCAAGGGGGGAAAATGTAACTTAAGGAGATTAAGTATATATATATATATATATATATATATATAAAAACCTAGTGAGCCAGAAAAACCTACCCAGCTTTCACCTAAGCGGATCGTCAGGGAAAGCTGGCTCTTCAAGTGCATCTATTACCCATCTTTTCAAGAATGGCCATTCAACATAACTAATGATACCAAGCAGAGTTGTGTCATGGCTCCTGTCCACTTTTGCTCTAGTTTTTTTTATCAAGCTTGACTATGTATACAGTTATCTCAAAAACAAGGTTAAATTCCAATTTCATACAACTGATGGTCTGTTAACCATCAATGTTTCAATACAAAACTTATCAGAACTAGCCCAATTCCTTTTTATTGATGTTGAGCTTATAACATCTATTGAGAATGCACAAGAACTTAATTGTTTTACTATGATTTCAGCTTAAATATCATTATAAGAGGAGGGAAAAAAGTGCTGCACCAACAAAATCCTACTCTAAAAGTAAGAGTGTCAAACAGCAATTTCCTGAGCACAAGTTTCTTCAGGTTCTTATAACTGTTAATAGTAACAACCTGAACTTTATAAAATCCCTCACATACTTAAAGAACAAAGTAAACTCAAATGAATTTCTTCATAACAAAATGGTCAACCATATCTCCAAAGTGATTGATAATTTTAGAAAACAGCCATTGTCTTTGGGATGAAAGAGGCATCACTTTAAAAACTGAAATCAGCATGTACTGAACAATTGTGCATAGCACTTTTTACAGGTCAAAATTACAGATGCTGTACTGCACTCATTTTAATCAGCTGTCTTTCATAACACCATCTTTATTGCATCTGTAACTACATCTTGCAAGACAAAACAGGCTGACTTTTGATATGCTTTTAAGACAAGCTTAAATAACAATCTCAAAGCTATTCTCCTCTCTTTTGTAAAGACTGACTAAATGGAGAACAAGCTATCACAAGATATTGCCAGCATTGAAATATCTCACCTAACTCATCTGAAAGAATTAGAATTGAAAACAAAATCCACACAGAATATATCCTACCTTATTCAATAACTATTGAGGATAGAGTATTTGTTTATATAAACAGTGGTCTGATAATCACTTAAGGCATGAAACTGCCATGGCAGTTTAAGTGATTATCACTACATGGTTTAGCGTTGAGGTTTACGTCCACACTGTTTTACATATATATTTAAAGAGTTTGTGTGTTATGACATGTTTCATTCAGAAAATTTTTTCTGACAATAAGTTTTTTTATGAAATCAATTCTCTGTATGAAAAAAAAAAAAATACAATGTTGGCTACATGTACAACATTTAAATATAAATTTTTATATGCAAAATGTCTAAATTATTAAAGTTAATGCCCCTCATTAAGCTTTCTAAAACTTTTTTTTTTTTTATCATGTTTTCTGTCCCACATTAGTAGTAATTTTGTAAGGAAAAGAAAGATGTTTCATGATCCTGGACATAAATTAATTGTATAGGATTCTGAAATTAATGCATTTTCAATACCTTTTCACATTAATAAATTTCTCTTTTAATCAGAACCACTTTAAGTCAAAATTATGCTCAAAATTATAATCAATGATTAACGTATTGAGTGTATTGCTTTATATACAATGTTCATATAATGTTACAAATAATGTCTATATCATCCGTTAGACACACTATCTAATCTTTTATATACAATTTCTAGATGTCCCAACA